CCAAACCCTTACTTTCATCCGCGATACCTCCATCACTCAATCACTTTCTTCCGCGATAACCCCCAAACCCCCCCATAGGTTTACACACAACTCGCACACTAAACGCACACACAAGACATATGCAGACACATACACCTACAGACAAACAATACAAATACACGCAAAAGCACATAGTGCTCTGCACACACACACACACACACACACACACACACAGACCCCTGACAGGTTCTCGGTGTGCTCGAGGCACAGTGACGTTCCAGCTGACCTGAATAAAGAAAAAACATGAGAAACGGGGGAACCAGGAGCTCTATTCATGCCTGATACCTTTTAGCTAACAGCGTCCCATGAGAAACACACACACACACACACACACACACACAAAGCAACAATACAGTCAGCGTCACACACACATACACACACTCATTCATCTGCAGCAGATAAGAAGCTCATGTAACAGTCTGTCTCTCACACACACACACACACACACACACACACACACACACACTGGACAATGCTGTTTTGTGTTTAGAGAGACAAGAAAGACACACACACACACAGACTTGTGAACAACTCCACGACTGAACTGACTGATCTCCATACGTTTACACTGAATCATTTGGCAGATGCTTTTAGTCACATGTGGGGACGAGGTGAAGACAACAAAGGATAGGATCCAAGTGCATTTTCAAGAGTTGACACTTAGCTGATAATTGATTATAAAGCTTGTTTGGCATGCTGTCCTGGGAGAGAGCCCTGAGCTCATAAGATCCTCAAGTCCCGTTTGCAAGGCGAGCAGGGAGTTTGAGCTCAGGTAGATGTGGAGAACTCCCCTGCTGTAGATAATAAACAGATAGCGATTGCTCTTAAGAGATGACTGCTTACTAGGAGCATGGTGCCGATTTGGATTAGTCAGTTAACTTAAGTTGGATGTTTTTGGACGGGTGGTAAATAAAAAAACAATCAAAAATCGTAATCATACAAGCATAAGGTCAAACACAAGTCGGCCATCCAAACGCAAAGTATTAAATGAACGAGAAAACAAGAAACTAAGGCAAGGCTATGGTGCACAACACATGACACAAATTAAAGACTCCGTACCGAACTAACATGTGGAGGGTGTATACAAAGTCCAAACAATACTTGGTGGCAGGTTTCAGCTGCGTGTCGGTGATGAAAGTGGATGGCAGATGTGTAGTTCTCCAGCGTTCTGCAATTGCTAGATCGCTGGTGATCATGACAGATGAAATGTACGTGCAAAGTTTCTTAGTTAAATGTCTGTTGATGAAGCAGTGTGATTGGCTGATCACAACGAACAAATGTTTTGCAATGAGAAATGCCAGTTGCATGATGCTTACACACCCTGCACGCCTCGTGTTTTTGCCATTGCGCTCCGTGTGCCCGCAGCTGAACAAAAAGTGGATAAAGCGGGCATCTTTCTTTCATTGTCCAATCAAATGAAAGCAGAGGCGGGGTTTCTGTTAAGCTGACAGCAGTGTTTGTGTTGTCATGAAGCGGTGGCTGTTTCCAGTTATTAAGAGCCAGTTATTCATATTCGTTGTGATCGGCCCCTAAGTAAATAAACGCAGAAAAAATTACTCCTACTCAACAGTCAACAAAAAGTTAAATAATAAAGTTAAGTAATTTAATTCCTTACATTTATATAAAGCTTTTCTGGCCACTCAAAGCACTTTACACAAGGGGGGTGTTTGCTGCACCACCAGTGTGCAGCATCCATCAGGAAGACGCATCGGTAGCCATTTCAAGAGTTCACACTTAGCTGATGATTGATTATAAAAGCTTGTTTGGCATGCTGTCTCGGGATCCTCGAGCCCGGGGTTCCCTCCCGTTGCAAGGCGGGAGAGGAGTTTGAGCTCAGGTAGATCTCGAGAACTCCCCTGCTGCAGTAACCAATGAATAGTAAGTGATTTCTCTTGGAGATAACTACATACTAGAAGCATGTCTATGGTGCCGATTTGGATTAGTCAATTAACTTAAGTTGCATGTTTTTGGATGGTGGGAGGAAACTGGGGAACCCGGGGGAAACCCACATGAGCACGGGGAGAATGTGTAAACTCCCCGCAGAAATGTCTGCTGGTTTGGTAAAGCCTGGAACCAGAGACATTCTTGCTAGCTGATTGGTGGAGAGGAGACAGAGTGATGAAGCCAATTATGATATAGGGAGAGGGTTAGTAGGCCATGATTGACTGAGGCCAGTGGGCAGATTTGGCCGGGATGCCAGGGTTAAACCCCTCCCCTTTTTCAAGGGACATCCTGGGATTTTTAATGACCACAGAGAGTCGGGACCTCCGAAAGACGCTCACTGAGCAGCATAGAGTCCCCGTCACTATACTAGGGCATTAGGACCCACACAGACAGGTTGGGCGCCCCCTGCTGGCCTCACTTACACCACTTCCGGCAGCAGTCAAATCAAATCAAATCACTTTTATTGTCACATCATCTGCAGCACGTGTGCTATGATGAGTGAAAAGCTTAGGTGCTGGCTCCAGACAGTGCAAAATACAGACGACAATGTGAAATTGACAGCGATATGTACAATGAATTGGCTTCCACATAGTTGTAGGCAGTATTGTTTCAAGTATGGATTGGTTAAAGTGCAGTGCATGCAACATATTGATGGTGTGCAGTGAGGGGTGTGAAAGAGTCTGTGTGTGGTGTGTTAAGCGTTCATCAAGGAAGAAGCTTTCCTTCAGCCGGCTGGTGCGTGATCGGATGCTGCGGAACCGTCTGCCTGAGGGTAGCAGAGAGAAAAGTCTATGGCTTGGGTGGCTGGAGTCGCTGATGATTCTCTTGGCTTTCCTCATGCACCTCCTGGTGTAGATGTCCTGGAGGGAGGGAAGCACACCTCCTATTATGCGTCCAGCAGTTCGCACAATCCTATGTAGGCCTTTGCGATTGCTGCTGGTGCTATTTCCATACCAGGTCGTGATACAGCCAGCAACCTAGCTTTCCCATGTGGTCTCCCATCCAGGTACTGACCAGGCGCAGCCCTGCTTAGCTTCAGCGGGCGACCATGTGAGAGTTGCAGAGAGCTAGCTGCCGGCAATAATAAATCACCCTGGGGTGATTACATTATATTAAAGACACAGCAACTGCGTCAGATGCAGCAGTTTGATTTTATGGCACCAGGTTAATTTTTTATTACCAGCCCGAAAAAAAAAGAGCTTTCACTTAACATAATAAATAGATCTCGGCTGTTTATTTGGTAAACAGTCATGTAATAAGAGTGCTAATGAGAAGTGAGCTGCGCATAATTAAAAAGCTACTTAGTCTGGCAGTATTTGTAGTCTGTTTATTACTTTTTTGACACTTTCTATAAAGAGTGTGAGGAGATCTGAATTTTATGATTGTTCCTATTCATTTTAACACTGCATGATCAATCTGTGTGATATGCAAAATCTGAAACAGCACAGCAAGTTTTGACAGACGACTGTAATGAAGACACAGAGGATTACAGGAGTTACAGTGCTGTGTGTGTGTGTGCGTGTGCCCTCAGGTGTTCATTTAGCACAGTGGTTCTCATGAGCAAAGGCCACGGGTTTCACAGGAGACAAACAAGCATCGCTGCAGTGACAGAGAGAAAAAGAGCTCTAAAAAAACATGTCATAACCCACAACCTGTCAGAAACACCACGACTCAAACACAGACGTGACTCTCTTATCTGACTGTGCCTTAGACTTTCACACACACACACACACACGCACACACACACCTCCCGTCTGTCAGGGATTATTCTCAGAGGCTTCAATAACACCCAGTAGGCACAACACAACATCATCAAGAAATTTTTAGGTTACATTTAGATCGTCAAATTCAACGCCATGACAAGGACAACGTTATTTTGACATCCAATACCGACTACGTTGATATTTGGTTGATTTTAGGGGCTGAAAAGTGACTAAAATCCAATGTCTGATAGTGGTAACGTCCACACAACGTCAAGGTGAAACATGATTAGACGTTGATATTTGGTTGATTTTAGGTTGGACATTGACGTCGGCCTGACGTTGGGTTCTGATGTCAACCCGAATTTAATTTCCAGACAAAATCCAATGTCCCTATGGCATACAAACATCAATATGTTGTCATTGTTGAGGTCCTGTGCCTGCAGAGCAGTCAGTTCAGCACAACAGGCTCAAGCAAATGTTAAACAACCACAAGACCAGAGGAGTAAACACTTGCTTTCCCTCACAGTCCAAAGACATGCAGTATAGATGAATTGGGTAGGCTAAATTGGCTGTAGTGTATGAGTGTGAATGCTAAGAGTGTATGGTTGTTTCCCAGTCTTGGGTTGCGGCTGGAAGGGCATTCGCTGCATGATAACATGTGCTGGATAAGTTGGAGGTTCATTCAGCTGTGGAAACCCCTGATTAATATAGGGACTAAGCTGAAAAGAAAAAGAAACCCACATAGCAAAATTTCTCTGGCCCAGCTCTGGCCCACACAATCAGGTTTTGCTTGGCCCACATGCCGCAGTGAATTACGGTACATGACTGGACCAAATCTGGCTTCCAGACAAGGGCCAAACACGGACCATATCTG